GCCGTGGATGCCCCCCCGTTCCAAAAGCGGTTCCGTCCTCGCGCGTCGGGAACGATCCGGAGAATGGAATTCGTCTCGATAACGCGCGAGTGCATCCGTCCCTCCGCGCGCGCCCTCCCCCTGCCTTCCCCCCGCCTTCTATCCTCGTTGCGCCTATCCATCCAGCTGTCCGCTGCACTTGTCGCTACCCTCGTTCCCTTGACCCTCCCCAAACACATAAATTTCCCCTCGGCGTCTCCCCTCGTCTCTCTCGCTCACTCTCTCTCTCGACGCCGCCGCGCGCGTCTCCATCCGTCTGTTAATGCCCGGCCGGGCCCCACGGAAATAGATCCGAGATCCCCGGTACCGACTTTCTCCGCTTCCTCGCCTGAGCGGCCTGAAACAGGTGCAGCGAGAGCGCAACGATATTGCGTCGATTTATCTTCCATCGACTCGTGCGCCGACCGAGATGGACTACGCGATCGATGAATTCTCGCGTCGCTCGCTCCGAGGGAATCTTTCCGCGACCTTTCATCAATACGTTCCTAATCAACGCGAGTATTTTCAACGCGCTTATCGATACGTAAACCTCGAGGTGTGTTTCATTAGCGTGTATCGCCGGCGTATGAACAATCCGTTCGCAACGCTCGCGCGCGTTGCCGCGTCGTTTCGCCGAGTCGTAACGTAAAACCACCTCGCCGCNAAAAAAAAAAAAAAAAAAAGAGGAGAAAAAAGACGCGGCAGCACGCCGGAGAGGATTAATAACGCGGATGCTCGATATTCCGACGACTCGTCCGCGCTCTCGCGTATCGATCGCTAATTATAGAGCCGGCGCACTCGCGATAATCGTAGTTACGCCTCTCCGCAGCGAGCGAGCGCGCGCTAAGAAGTTATATTTCCCTCGACCGATGTTATCGGCCGCGTCCGAGAGAGGAGAGCAATTGTTCGATATACCCTCGAAGTATCACGCGTTAGGTAATCGCGTGGGAACGGCCGGGGCGAGGGTTAATTGCGAATCCGAGGAGGGAGTAGTGGATCCTAAGTAATTCTATGCTAATTGCCCCCC